GCGTGCGCAAAATCGAATTTTGCGCACGGGTTTGCGTGCGCAAAGTGCCTCATTCCCGCACTGTCAAACGCGTGTGCAAAATCGAATTTTACGCAGCTTGTTAGGAAAAATAGTATACGATACACGTGCGCATAGGCGTCTCCCGCACTCGTCTCTTTTGTCACCCTCGCTACGCTCGGGCGACAAACCCGACTCTTGCGGGAATCACCTACTTTGCGCACTTGTATCGTAATATACTATTTCCTAACAGCGTGCGCAAAATTCGATTTTGCGCACGCTGTTAGGAAAAACTTTGTTCTCGCGCTCTGTCATGAAATGCATTCACTTTGGAAGCCTTCCTTGCTCTTATTATGGCTGCCTCCTCCAACGAAGAGATGTTCCAGTCACTTTGGAGGCACAAAAAGTAGCGTTTTTCATGCATTCGTTACAGAAAATATTATGCGATACTGGTATAATAAAGCGAACATTATACGCAGATCGTGAAGTTTGTCACACTCGCCGCACTCGTAAAACAAACAGCACTCGCCTTCGGCTCGTGCGGTTGTGTTACTCGTATGCGGCTTGTGCGACCAACTTCACCGCCTGCCTATAAAGTTCGCTTTCTCGCACTCGTATCGCAAAGTATTATTACACAACTGTTACATACTGCTATTTATTATTCTCTAAAGCATTACTATATTGTTAAATTCAGTTAAAGCTGTATGTTCACATCACATTACGTGAATGTATCAGGCTGCCTTAAATATTATATCCTTAACGAACGATGGTTATTTCAGTAAATAAATTTTTATTTCTCCACTGTGTATTAATTTTTGTCACAAAATACTGCAGTGCATGGTACTCGAATGTCCAGTAGCTGGGGAATACTGACTTTTCTAAGATTTTCTTAGTTTTGCATAAACATTTTTTTATAATTATACTAACAAACGAAGAGAGAGGTAGTCTCATAATTTATCATGAAGTACTAGAAAGCACAACTAAGTAGAGAGCATATCAAAGAATATGCGATTTCATCAATTATGTTACGATTAACAAAAAAAACAAAATATCTCGTACTGCTATAAATAATCGGCAAAAAAAAGTTACATCGACAAAGTTAGCAGAAGGCCTAAAAATATAATGTAGAGAATAGCTAAGAAAAAACGTAATAAAAATGTATTCAATTCAGCGTCGTTTAAAACTTCAAAAATAAAAATAGTAGCACGAAAGAAATTAAATATTGTTCTTCAATCCTTATTTTTATCCTAATGTTGTGTAGTAAACGACCTATGGACTTAACGATTTATATTATACATAAAAAGTTAGTATTTCGTCAAAAAGTTATTAAGATTGGTAGAGATATGTAATTTTAATTAATAGTAGACAAAATTAAGTCAAATAATGTTGATTACCAAAAATATATGTATGTACCGTCATCTTATATAGTAGTAAAGGCAATGTACAGTGCAATTTCGCGTAAGTTGACCACTCGGGACTGAAGTACTTCACGTAACTTGATTCTCCCAACTATCCGCACGTTTTCCCAGATTGGTGTTGACTTACGTCGGCACCAACCATGTGCATACGTCGAGTCCAATGCTCGGCAAAGAAACAGACCTGTGGTAGGAGAAACCTCTCGGAGGAGAAGTCACGTTACGGAAGTGTGTACAGTCAATTTATGTGGGGTACTATCTGATGAAAATAAATGTAAGTTTACAGTATACTTTCAAAAATTTCAAATACCGCAACTTATCGTATTTATTAATATTTTAGAACTTAAATGGGTGGATCAGTGATCAACCAAAAATATTCAGAATATATTTAATGTAAATTTATATAACTGCTGAGTTAATAGATACAGCATAAAATTATAACAGCCCGAGACATGTGAAATATAAAGTCGTGTAGAAAAAGCCGAATACCTAAATATCTCTGCGAAGATCCAAAAAAATATTCAAGCTATAATTTGGATGGTTTTGAAGAGAGAACATGATTCAAACAGATTTTTTTTCCATGTCATTTTTTCCAGTGTTCTAGGTGGTCAGCTCTATTTTTCAAAGCAAAATTAAATTAACTATATTTAAATATATGTTTGGAAGTAATGTCAAAAAAATGTTTGGAGTAAAAAAATAAAAAATTAAAAGGATGTCATACAGATTGATTTTTTGGTTTAACCTTGTTCCTTGCGCAACCTGCAGGTCCATGTAATCTATAAAATAAAAGAAATTAAACATTACTATGGCTTGTGCTTGATGATTTAAAATTAAAAAAATTTAATCTCATTTTTTGTTAACAGCAACGAAATGAAAAGAAAATAATTTTTTGTTCTTTTCAAAATCGACCTTTCTTTAAAACACTGGGTATTGTTTTTTTTCAGTTAAAATTCTAAAATCTGCGATCGTCAAGCACGAAACATATTAATATAATGTTTAAGTAATTTTTATGTTTATAAACTTCATGGACCTGCAGCGCGTGTACTTAGTCAATGTTTGAAAGAACACATTATGAAACATATTCAATAAACTTTCACATGACATATCTATAATTCCTGTTTCTAAGATTGGTGTTATATCTGTAATATTCTGATTTTATGAATTGCTACCTGATATGAAATAACAATGTCTAAAATATTATTTTGAAATTGAGAATGCACAGGGTAAGTCACTCAAAATTATGAATTGAGATATAGCTTCACGTAAGTAATACTACATCTGTTATTCAATGAAAGTGACACTCGGATCTAACCAAGCAAATAGCAGAATAAAAAAACTGTAAAAATAGATATGGATATCCTCAATGCTATTAAATAATGAAACACGCTGCAAGTTGAAACTTGCAATTTGCTGAATTCGAATCGTGGGTAGTGTACGAAGTCCCTATATGAGGAAACATTTTCATTTTTTTTAATCTTTGGCTTCCTCATAGATGAATCTTCATCTACTATCGATGATTCAGAGGAAGCAATTTGCAAAATTTAAATTCTTGGCTTCCTCATATAGGGACTTCGTACACTACTTACGATTTGGAGGAAGCAAATTGCAAGTTTCAACTTGCAGCTTGTTTAACGTGTGTCCCCATGCCTCTCACAACTTGGGGTGTTCCATACTGTAGAGAACGCATGTAAGGATAAATTTCTTGCATGATCTCTTCAGGCCTAACATTTTTGAATCGGCTGAAATTCAAAAACTTTAATATATGTATAATCCAATCCGTTTTGCCGATCTCCGCGAAATTTGAGACACATCACGGCTAAATGATCTTCTATACTTTTGGAAAATTGGAGCTCAATCGGTCAAAGTTGATGTAAGTTATATTGATAAACTTAATTTTTCGAAAAATTCAAAATATCATAAAATCAAAACTTCTCGATGGATTCGGCCCAAGTGCAATACCAACCAACCTTGGGTACAAATCTCTTTGTCAAGAAATATTTAGACGATTATCACAAAATTTGCGATCGCTAGAAAGATAACGTCCTTTTTTTGGAATTTGAAAATGACATAAAATCCGAGCCGCAGCTTGAATCATGACGAAAATTATAGTCAATGAAAGTATTATAGAGCTGCATATGCTTGCAAAATTTAGGGACTGTAGCTAAAACCGTTCTCGAGTTACACACGTTTGAATTTCAGGAAGCCATTACACACACACATACATCCGGACATTTTTTCCAAACGTGTTTTCTCGACGTTTTGGCACATTCTGAACATGGTGACATGAAAATCTCGACAGCCAAATTTTCTACCTTTACATAGCTTCCTCTATGAGGAAGCAAAATCATTGGGAAAACTTAATTAACGTATTTTGGTTTTTGAAATAATAAGATAAATAAAAACTATCAAGCAACATCTTTAAACTCATATTTCTATTAAACGCTGAAGAAAATTAACTTGTTTCAAAATTTGCCTTAACTCAATTAAAATGTGATTGTCATAGATCAGCGAATGTGTGATGTCTTATATGGAAAAACCAAGTGTAAAACTTCAGTTGACTCACCCTATAAATGATAATAACTCTAAAAATTTGAATTTCATGCAGATCACCCAATATTTTTATAGAAATCAGAATATTTCTTCTGTTTCAATAACTAATTTAATTTCTTTTCTTCATTATTTTTCTATGTATTTGCCGTTAACTCGGAAATAAAACACCATGTTCCTATTGCAACATGATTCCTCTTATGTATACGACCGACGGAATTAACACAGCGGATGATAAAGCACTCTGCAGTAAATTTCATGAAAATAATTTCATTTAATTAACCATCATTCAATATTAGATTTAATTTAAAGAGACTCTGAAGCTGTACCATCGTTAGTCAAGTGCACAATAGTATATATACAGACAGTAGCTTGATTTAGTTTTTATTAGTTCAATTTATTAGAAAAGAATAAACAATCGTTGGCGACGTGTCCATTTGAGTTCACGGAACCAACGATTGTAATGTGTTTCTTACGACAATACCAGCTTTCTAATACACATCACTGACTCTACTCATTTATGATTTCTTCTGTGGATATCCTTAATACCTGTATTATGACAATTATCCGGCACTACGGCGTGTATCTCATATGATACATTCGACAAACTTTCATTTTTTAAACAAACTATGGATAATATTCAATACTTTACTCAATTATAAATCTATTTTAAATCCGTAAATCACAATAAAATAATTTGATTTACTTTCTTGTTAGAAAACTAAACATTATTAATGCCAAAGTATACCAAGATCGAAATTATTAAAATTTGCAATAGGTCTGATTCTAGTATTTGAAATCCATTATGGCGATCACTATCTTAATGTACATTCTTTTCCATTTACATTTCAGTAAATAATGTTACATGTACACATCTACTTCTTATGTTATACTTTTTTTATGGTAATTTTGGGGCCATTATTATACCTACATGTTACTCGGTGATCCATATCATGATATTGAATATTTCACTATTATATATTGACTTGATAGGAGTAATTATACGATTAGTTGCTTTATAGTTTCGCTTCACAAGAAACCTTGGATAGATGCACTACATTTTTGTGCGCAGCATTTTAATTATACTTTTAATGATATTTTCATCGAGAACGTTTACAAATTTAATTGTCTCATTCACGTTCAAATTAAATGTTATCTATAAAAATTTAGTATGTCACTTGAGACTGACATAGCACAAGTGAGTATTACTTGTAATATTCACGCTTCTCTGGCATATTATCATCGCACGGTCTATGTTGTCCTATAAACTACTAACGAATTGACTATCAATATTGACTTCTATGTTAACGGAATTAAACGAAAAAGTGAAACGGATACACTATCTACATAGTTCAAATATTTCTTTGTTTGAAACAAAGTTTCTCTAATAGTTATCTATAGGTTTTATTTACGTCGTCTCTTATGCATTTAAATATACGTATTAGTTAATGTACAGGGTTATTCGCTACAAGTGCACTAGCTAAAGTTAGCCGTAAATAGGAGATTTCATCAATCGGGACAGTGTAATGTTATTAAAAAAACGAAAGTTAATATCATAACGTTATGAACTTCAGCCGTTGCGTTTATCATGAATAACCCTGTATACGTATATCCTTATATTTGTTTCCATATCCATATATTTACTTCATGCCATAAAAGAGATATTAAAAAGTGTATGAATTATATTTACTACGCTTTCTGTACTGCGCACTCAACATTTAATTAGAGCTATATGATTTACTTTTTTCCTGATTCAATTGGCTAGAGAAATATGTAGGATATCAATCAAAGTACTCCTGCTACATCTTTAAGCATTAGAACAATTAAGCGTAATTTTTAGCATCGACACTATTTAATATTTATTCTAGCACACGTTACTCTGTTCTTATTCAAATTCATTTTGATATATGTATATGATATATTCATATAATCTTATTTTTAAGCTTAAAGTACAGTATACATATATTTATACATTATACATATGCTTTATATACAAGACAGTTCCGGCAAAGTTGCTTATTTCAGTAATATTAAAGAAAGTAATTATTTTTTCCTGAATATTGAAATAAATTTGTGATTAAAATTTTCATTAAAAAATGTTGTCAAGGGGGCCGTGACAAATTTATATTCTAATAGGAATTTAAAAGCTTTCTTATTATTTTCGTACTGTACTCGCACTTTTCATATATCCAAGTTCGGAAATTACAGAATCCAGACTTTTTTAAAATAGGTTTAAATTTAATTTCATATCATTTATCAGTTTATACTTAATGGTTAAATCTAACTTTAAATTCTACATTATTGTCCATCATGGAACATTTCTTAAAACTATTTATTGTCTGCTCACACAGTATTGTCGGTTATTATTAAGATTATTTCCCTCTTTATTACAGCTAAGAGTTGCCTGGATACTAAGGAAGACGATTATTGTCCAATTACTGTTATTATCAAGAATTCATTTCAGCACGCAAGCAGAACTTTGAAAGAAACATAAAATAGAAAATCACAGAAATAAAATGACTCGTCGCACATTTTATCAATGAATATCTTCGCAACGTTAAGATAGTTGAAACTATGTTCCATAATTGAAACAAGAGACTGTGGAATGAAGAAGATTCGTGTAAAGTGAAAGAAAGTATAACTTAATCGGAAGAAAATTGCAATTGCATGTTTCATAAAGTGGGCATAGTTAAATAAATACTTTTGTAATAATTGTATAAAACTATAAAGATAAGCAAAATTAAAATTGTTGTCGCGGATGTTACCAACAATACCACTAGACATCTTATCGCTTAGAAAAAGTCTAAGTCAATTAGTAAGGCTCCTATTTTCCATAAACAATATATCGTAAAAAGTATATTTGTTTAAAAACTATTTTATTAGAGTGCGGATCGAAAAAGTGCTGGTGCAATATATTTATCCCTAGAATTCAGTCAACGTGTTTCTGCCCTTTGTAAGTAAAACAGTACACCTAATGTGCTATGCTGAGAGGCTACAAGCTCTACTATTCCATCTTCAACTTGACTAGTTTAAATTACATTGGCTACCAATATTTAAATAAGTGGAATCGGAACTATCCGCATCTGATGTTACAGAATCGATATAATTCCAGTACGAACACCTATAGCAGTCCACGTTCCGAGTACAAAGCTCTACCAGATTTCCAAAAAATGCAAATAGCTAACTGTTTTTTTTTGTAAATTACAATTTTACTATAGTTCCAAGAGACTAGATTTAAATTTTCAACTGTTTTCGATGAGAAAATAATTGTGAGCAATCTAACAGGACACGTTTGTATTTAATGGCATTTATGAATACTTCTTTTTAATCTACCCTGTTAATTTGATTTATATTCGCACGTGGATCGTCTTTGTACAAGCTTATATGTAATGCTTACAGATAATACATAAATTCATCGTCCGAAATCAGTTCTGTACTTAGGGTAATCTTTCGTTATGAGTTATGAAAAGATGACCTTTTGGAACGTATCTGATATCGGACGGTGACAGTAGTTCTACCGAGTAACGATTATTGTATACGCATTATTAGTTCAACTTACTATTAAAACATATGTATATAGTTTTTATTTATAAATATTTTCTAGATCATTTCAGCTTTACGCCCATATTATAGTGTTACGCATTTTATGCAATATTAATTTTTCTATTATATCTATTACATCAGGTGTGCAGTTAAAGCGATCTTCGAGTTACAAGTGAAACAATTTTAATGGTTATAAATTTCATATTATTGTCCACTTATTATACTTCAGATTTAGCAAATGATATCAATCGATCGAGCAAAAGTCGATAAAACTGTTACATAATGTGCACTCTGATTTCAGAAAAGGACGTCTTCTGAATTCGACTGCACACCTGAAGAGAGGATGACCACTATGTGGTTTTCGACATTTCTAAATTGGTGACATACAAAATGTTTTTGGCGCATCATATGCGTAATTTTTTTTTGATTTAAATTCATTTCATTACCAAAAGTATTTAGTTATTCAGTTTACTAGAAAATAACGCCACGACCGCATGTTATCTGAACTTTGCTATATGATGAGGTGGGCGCGTTCACAATGGCCTTCCTGTATAATATTATTCAAGTATTTTAATATGTTTCGAATTCTTTCATATTAAGCATAAACTCGTTATAAATCTCCTCAAGAAACTGTTAACCTTTGAAATGTCATAGTTATATATTTGCAGTAGAATGTATATAACAGTGATATAATAGTTATATATCCGAAAACGCTTATAAAGTAAAACCTCTCAACAACGTAATCCTCAATAGCGTAAAACTCTCAAAATCATAAGTTTCTTTCTTCGTAAAATTTCATAATAATGTGATGATCTATCCCCATTTTCTCTATTTTCTCCTTCGTTCTATCCCCACTTTTTTAACGCAGGAGAGGTTATTGAAAAAGTGGGAAATTACATTAACGAGAGATGGCTGGTGTCAAGCGTTACGTTATTGAGAGATTTTACTATACAACTATCACGTTACGTAATGTATATTTTTGGAGTCTAGTCAATGAAGAACGCAAGGAAGAAATCGGTGCGGAACAAGGACGTATATGAGTATACTTCTTCATATCGTACAACAAACATTCATATGACTACAAAATTAACAGTATTTCCTTCCTTCTACGTTTTGAGATCTAATTCAGTTGCAAATTGATAGAGAAACGCTTCGTATAAAAAGATCTAAGCTACTTCATGTCGGAAAAGAATAACGTCTTTTCCCAACAGCACTTCTCTGCTGTTGGATATAAATGAACAAATTTTTTCACCTTATTTCTTATGATCTCGACTTTTGTTTTAAAGCTTCTGCTTTACAATAATTCTACCACATCTTAATTCTAACTTATTACTACACGATAAGAAATATTACAAGAAATCTTTAAAAAGTTTCCAGAAAATGTAAAAGCTTTCTTTATTTACATTTCGTGGAAACATTTTGAAGGCTCCTTCGTATTGTCGACTTATTGTCATCCGTTTCTGATTTCATCAACGTCGTGCTAGTCGTAACGACTCCGTTTTTCATCAATTCTGTTATATTATTTCACATTTTTATCCATTAAAACTTCCGGGCATCTTAAAAACGCATAATATTGAGCGTCGAAATATTCCATTTTAAGCAAAACTTGTTTAACAAACAAGAACATTCATCAACGTCTTCTCCTTTCCTCGCATACTATTTTTTTATAAGTTGCGAGTCTCATCAATTCTCCTACTCCGACGATTTCCTATGCAAGAGCAGTCCCACACAAATATTAACTGACACGAATAACTTAGTTTAAAATTCTCATTAATACGGATCACGAAATGACGCAAACTTCTGTAATCGTGCTCCGAAATGATACTACTTATTCATTCCGTTCTGTTACGCAAGTTACAATTCAAATCTCTTATTTCCTTTGCTATGCCAATGACTCACAAATTTCATTATGTTGGTATTGTAATATTTTTATCTCGAAACTTTTTTTAGCATCGTTTTGTGGTGAATTTCAAAAGAGCGTTGCAATATAAGGTCCAGCCATTTAGTAAGTTGCTTTTTGTGTTCTTTATCGGTATTTCTTTTTTTTCCAGTTCTACCAAGTCGCTTGGCGACCTTTTTATGTTACCCTTTATCCTTTTCTGAATATTTAGCCATTTCTTTGTGGATCCACGGTACATATTTTGGAACGTACGCGTAAACTCCTGGTAACTTGGGATGAGCACACTTTATACCCCAACTGACGATACCACCAACAAACCACCGTTCCTGATCAGTGGGATCCTGGCAGAGCAGAGGACCACCTGAATCACCCTGACGAAATAATTGTTGTGTTTATAGAGAAACATATTACGATATCAATAAATCAATACACTTATTCTTGTTATTTCTACTTTAAACATAAAATGCTTACCTGGCAGGCGTCTTTACCACCTTCAGGATAACCAGCACAAATCATTCCATTGGTTACGTTCAATTCTTTGTGCTCCAACCATATATTACATACTTCTCTATTCAAGACTGGCACTTTGACTTCATTTACAGCTGGTTCATATTCTGAAGCTAGAGGCAAAAACAGATGCAAGTCTTACTGCGCTGATGATGGTAAAAAGAGCATGTGTTTGAAAGAGAGCAATACTTACAATCGGTATCCTCTTTTTTCCCCCAACCAATAACTGTGCATACAGTACCCGGTTTGAGATCGGTATCAGCATCCGGTAAGCAAACTGGTCTTAGATGTTCATGAAACTGAACACGACTCTCCAGCTAACAAAATATCAATCAGATTAAACAATAAGTCTTTCAGAAATATTGGCTATAAAAGGAAAAGAGTAATAAAATTATTATTAGAAACAAGTGTAGAAAGAAATTGTGAGTCTTACTTGGAAGAGGGCCACGTCGTTATCGTGGGCAACACCCAAGTTGTAATTCGGATGGGGAACGACTCTCTTAACTTTGACCTTTTGTCCGAGATACGTGTGTGCATGTCTTCGCGTGATACCCAATTGAATTGTCCAGCCGGAGACCTCTGAATGACTGAAACTAATGGATTTTGTTCTTGCAATCCAGCTTACGAAAGCAATCGTAAGTAAAATTTTTAATAATATCAAAAGTATATGATAATTAACAATAGCTTATAGATACATGAAAAGATAGTTAGTAACGAGTTCTTAAATCTATCATAAAGCATAGATTTATTTACAATTGAAATATTGTTTTAAAAATTCTATCCAGAAATTACACTATTTTTATTTATTTTATAACTTGTCATGTATAATAATTGTTCAACTCGCAGTCACAAAAGGACTCTTGCTACCGGTTTAGATAACGTTCATGGTTGTTGATTCCCTCCGAGTCACCATCCCGATCAGGAATTACGTTCTCGGATAAACTTGTACGTTTATACTAAAGTTCTCGAGAAAAGGCTCTATTGTGTTTATTAAAGGTCGGGTTTATCGAATCTGTTACGAGAATAGTTACGAGACAGTTAATTTTGCATGTTCTCGGGGTGCATCCTGGTGTAGTGAGTGACCTGTGCCAGTAGAGTGAACTCAGGATATAATTTTCGATGGCTATTAATTATCTGTGTCAGCTTTGCTGAATTGTGCCGATATTAATAATTGGTGCGGAGCTCGCACGCAATCAATCAGCAATAGATTTCGTGTAGCTTCCGCTGCTTGCGCGCGTCGCACACGTCGTTGCACAAGACGTCTCATTTCTGATTGGTTCGCGCTAACCTTGTACCTTGAGCTCGCGGTCTCGATCATATTTTCATTAGTTCCTAGCTCTCGAATCTTTGTTCGGTCTATTCGTGTTCTCATTAGCTTAGATTTCGAAGAATTAGACTATTTATTGGGCCACCACCTGAACCCTGTTTACAAGAACCTACACATAGAGTAGCCATGCATTTCTGCTACCTTTCGTTCTCGTTCACACATCTAGTTGTATTTATCAATTTTACGCAACCCCAAAAGTTGGCTGATTCCAATTCTGTTTTGTTTCGTTTCATTTGGTGAAATCGAGGAGGTTCTCCTCGACTCCCAGGGCATACTGACTTGTCTGTTCCTAGCGAATTAAGAATTGACTGACGCCCAGCCGTGGCTTATGGGTGCACTAGCGGAGATGGACGGCCGAAGGCGACGTTTATTAGGTTGAGTTCTCATTTGGTCAGAAAATATGTCACAAACTTTATTGAAAAGCAACTTCTATGAATGATATATTCATCACAATTATCGACAATATTGGACCATCAGTTGGGCAAATCACCGATGCCCTTTTCCCAGTACTCCAGCGCCTGCGACTTCAAAAAGTTCGTAATGTCCAATTCGAACTGAGCAGAAATTTTCTTCGGTGTAGATCCGAGTCACATTGCGCTTTTTGTAACTACTAATACGACCAGGATCATGTCGGTCTCTTCGGCCCTGATCAGGCATACTATATAATGGCATTTCCGATCCGACCGTGATCAGATGCCTGATTCGCTCCTGATCTCCGTTTATCAATCAAAATTATATACAAAAATATTTTCACCAAGTTAAATGAATTTACATTGAACTTACGATGGACTTACTCGATTGAATGATATACATACATTTAATCCTCGAAACATTAAATATTTGATGTTGAAGGCGGGATTTGAACCTGGCACCCTGGACTTTGTAGACTGCGTTCTACGTGTTCGGCTATTAAGAATTTGAAGAAAAACGTTAGAAACTAAAATATGAAACGCAGAAGAACTTTTATATAGTTTGTAAAGTATTTTTTTAACTTCCACCAATATCGAAAATCCGAACTAACCTACATCATCTTAGGCCGTCCACCCTTCGTCCATGCATCCGGATGCCAGGCGAGCCTCAGCTAATCCTTTTCTCATCGAGAACTAACGAGCCGCTATGATTTGGGAGCTAAGGTGGAACAATCAGAACACCACCAAAACGTAGTATAAGTTTGGGGGTTCTGGATATAGATTCCTGCACCGACATAATACCGACACTCCAGAGCCTTCGAAGGTGGGTGTCCGTGCTAAGTTGCCGTCGTGAGCTCTACGATTTCTGGAAGTGACGTCATCAGGACCCTCGATTCCAAGAATTTTTGCTCGATTCCGGGAATTTTGCGTCACATTCCGGGAATTTTGCACTCGATTGTAGGAAATACGCACGATCGAGAACCTTCTAGAACATGCTAGAACCTTCTAGAACATTCTGGAAGCTTCGACGGTTCGTGTCCGTGCTAAGTTGCCGTCGTGAGCTCTACGATTTCTGGAAGTGACGTCATCAGGACCCTCGATTCCAAGAATTTTTGCTCGATTCCGGGAATTTTGCACTCGATTGTAGGAAATACGCACGATCGAGAACCTTCTAGAACATTCTGGAAGCTTCGACGGTTCGTGTCCGTGCTAAGTTGCCGTCGTGAGCTCTACGATTTCTGGAAGTGACGTCATCAGGACCCTCGATTCCAAGAATTTTTGCTCGATTCCGGGAATTTTGCACTCGATTGTAGGAAATACGCACGATCGAGAACCTTCTAGAACATTCTGGAAGCTTCGACGGTTCGTGTCCGTGCTAAGTTGGGAAGGTTCGCTCCCAGAGCCGGCGCTCCTCTCGCTCGACGTTTTGAGACAGTCCCTTGGTCCCCACCCCGGAAAGCCATCCAGAAGCTTCGACGGACCCGTACACGTGCGTGCAGGTTTCGGTCGTCAGCCCTCAGCCCGTTTGACCTCTAACGTTATCTCGCAGAATTGCGCAGCATCGCTGATGCAATCCTCCAGGAATTTTCCAGAACTTTTGTCCCTAACTTCATAGCGCAGGCTAGTGCGTAGCATCGGTGAATCAGAGAGAGAGAGAGAGAGAGA